AGAAGACGTTTAAAAAGTAGCACTAGCAGCACTAGCAGCACTAGCAGCAGCAGCAGCAGCAGCAGCAGCAGCAGCAGTAGTTGTAGTTGTGGAAGTTAAGTAGCAGTAACTGTCGAAGAAATCAGTAGCAATTGTAGTACCTGCATCAGACACAGACCGTGCTAATAATGTTTAGTTTAGTTTCGTTTTCGTAAAACAAAAATTCGGCACTTACAACACAAATAGGTAATATAGGTGCCAAAGATTGGAGGTGTTATTAGAAAGCAACGCACTAATAAAACTGAAGGACGATAGATGTTTGATACGATCGAAAGTAGAAGCATACTACATCAGAGCACCCACCAACCACCCACCTGGAAGCAAAGTAAAGGTCAAGGGATAAAACATCTGGTTTGCGAGGGTTCTGAGTGGAGTTGGACGTGCGCGGAATAGTATGAAAAAGAAAAGGAAATATGGCATGTGTGATTCGCATGCTAAATGAGATGCGATACACCTGGCCCACGATAAAAACTGAGCTCTTGCTGTTGGACTATACTCCGGCATTCGACCAGAAAGGACGATGATGTGGTCAATTTACACACAGGGTGTAAATATTTTACTTAAGAAATCAAAAATGACATTTCCTGCAAAAACAAAACAACAAGAACAAAAAAGCTACAAAAATGAAAACAAAAACAAAACGAACTCCAAAATAACAAGAGTACGCAATTATTGTCATTGGGAATTATTGGAGATTGGGGGGGGGGGCGGTCCTTTTCCGTTTTCTGTTGCTAACTCTGGTGTTCTTGCAAACTGAAAGTTACTGACATTATCGATTTTAAACTCGGGTAAATACAAATGTAGTAGGTCCAAAGACGGAAGGAAATTACCCCCACGAACAAAAAGCCTACAGCTAAATCCTTGAAACAGTAGGGTGGGTCCAACGATCAGATTTCTTTGACCTGGCCACAGACAGAACACCACAAGAGTGACGATCCGATGGATTTAACCCTATCCGTACGGCGTGTTTTATTATCGTATCCATAAGACATGGGGATTTATGTTCCACCACTTTCCAAATAGGAATTTTGCTCGTTGATCCGATCCGTACACGTTGCATAGCAGTCTGTCAAAATGATTTATTTTTTTTAATACTGAAAGTTTCAAAGACATTTTCGCACTAGAAGAATTCTAAAATGTGAAGAATACAAGCCTGGGATACAAAATGACCCCAGGGCGTACGGATAGGGTTAATCTAGCCACGGACAGAACAAGGAAAACAAGACAGATCCCAATCAGAAATGAGGCTGGAAGAAGGTGGTGGCGATGGATTGGACATATTATTCTCAGGACGTCAGGCAGCTACACAACAAAGAAAATGTTGGATTGGAATTCACAGGGTAAAAGATCAAGGGAAAGACCGCGTGGAACTTGGAGAAGAATCACATAAGCGGATGTACAGAAAAAAAAGAGGAAGACATAGAATAATACGAAGAAGCGATTCCAGAACAGAGAAAGGTGGTTTGTTCGAGGCTCATACCTTAGTGCAGGGTGAGAAAGGCAATGATGACGATGATGATGATGATGATGATGATGATGATGATGATGATGATGATGATGATGATGATGATGATGATGATGATGGCTTTTATAAAATCAAGAATTATGTAGGGATCAATTTTAATTTTTTCCAATTAAAATATTTCGTCTTAGTAGAGGTTTTACGGCGCTCGCGCAACTAATAAGATCATATGAGCGCCAGAAATACTGTATTTCCTTCGTGTCTCTCCAAAGTCTGGACATTCTGGACACCGGCTTTTCCAGAGATGTATTTTCCTTAATGGAGCATCATCATCATCACAGAACGTCTAATGAAGACCAATACAGCATAACCACTATGGCTTAATCGAACATAGTGGTGCCGGCTACCATTACTCCTAGAAACACAAATACAATAGTGTTCCAAAGTACGTTTTACATTATATCCATGTTTCGGAGTTATCTACAGCTATAATTATAACATAATATACACATTATGTTTACGGGTACAAGAACGAGAATTATGTCTATGCGTATACATGTCACTGCCCATACCTTTGTATACATGTACTTATACATTGTACATTGATATTCATGTCCGTGCCATTTTAGGTACCCTTGTGCGTGAATGCTGCACGATTTTTTTTCCAATGCTATTATTAAAGACTATTAATATTACAGCTTGTAAATCGCACTGAACATTGTAAATTATGGAAATGCGCTACATAAATGTCTTGTGTTATTATTCCATTATTATCATCAGCAGACAAGAGACTAGACTGGTCCGGATCCTGAATCAGTCTGACAGAAGACTATGCTATGATAAGTCGAAGGGACTGTTTTCATAATATCTTTCATACAGACTGCTGGCAAGAACAGCTACAAAAAAGGGGAAACGTGATTACACTATTCTATCCTAGATCTGCGCTGTTTATTCTCTTAGACTGCAAGAGCACTATTAAAACGGTAAGGCAGGAAACATCAGTTAGATAGAGATAGATCGAGGCTGACATGACCCAAAGCAGAAAAATGAATTCTGGAATATTATGATGGGGTGTGTAGGAGGGAGATTCTTGGCACTTCAGTTTGTGGTAGTTTTTACAGAAGTTGTCGACTTCGATAAGCATCTCTCTCTCTCTCTCTCTCTCTCTCTCTCTCTCTCTCTCT